TCTTAGCTCTAAGAAAGACCTCTACAGATTTTGCCCAAGGCACATAATTCTCCCCATTCAACTTGATAGAAGTCATCTAAACATTCAGGTAGTTGGTGGGAACCATAACACTAGATTTGTGTTCACTACTGTCTCCCATATCTGAATTCCTTTTTTTCTTTTTCTCGTGTATCGAACTTCTAAATCACTTTTCACCACACTGGACACTGTTGAAATCACCTACAGTCACAATTTTCAGCACCACACAACTACCTGAATACACACCATAACACTAGCAACTCACCAACCACTCGATTCACACTGAAACACACATATAACCCACCTATTTGATCACCAAAAACCAACCTGACACTTGACTGTCCACTGCATCACCTGAAACAGCCCCCTTCGTACCATCGATTAGAGGGTTTCCTACAAACACCCACTAAACCACTGACGGGAGGCATGAAAACCTCCAAAGGGAAAGGGCGATCACTCCTTTTCAGCCCTTTTCCCTATCTCCAACAGATGATGAAGAAAACTATAAAACCCTAGGCTGAATGGCGATAGAACAAAATTCTGGGCAGATCTGATTTTGTCACAGTAGCTCTGATGCCATGATAAAGTTCAGACCTGCACTAGAATTCTCGTAGAAATAGTTAGAGGAAGATTATAAGAGATATAAGAGAGAAGAAGAGAAGAAGAGAAGAGAAGCGAGGAGAAGAAGAAAACTGGTTTGAACTAGAGAGAAAAATCTTTCTTTCTAGTCGGCCAGGTTATATTTATAGGTTTCTATTAAATAAAACAAAAGACTATTATGTCCCTACTTAAGTATGGGACACATCATTTAACATTAATATTACACACCAGCTTAAACATAAATAGAAAGACTAAACTACCCCTATATAGTCGACACTAACAATATCCTTCGTGTTTTACCAGTTATCCATCTCAATTTTTTGGACCTATTGTTTCTCGATTGCCCAACACTCTGATCCATGCAACGCAGATGGCCTTATAGCCCAATGCACGAGGCTCCTGCCAATGTGGGGTTTGGGGAGGGATGGATGTATGCAACCTTACCCCTGTACATACAGAGAGGATGTTTCCAAGATTTGACCCTGGTCACACAAGTGGCCTTATAGTCATCTTATAAAACTCTCCTTCTAGCACAAGTGGTATCCTCCAGTCATATAAGAATTCGGATGCATCCCTCCTTTTGTTGATCCTACTTTAATTCTTTAGGCTACATCCTTAATCTCTTCCTTGTTGTGGATTATTGAACCAAAGTTGTCGAAGACGTCACATTGAGATATCTCTTGGTCTCTAATCCTACGTGAACCCAAATTTCCACCCCTATTGTTATCAAGGTTTAAAATGTCGATGTCAATGGAAATGTCGCTTACCAAAATATAGGACATATGTCAGAAATTTCGAGGGGAAATATTGTAAAAATTATAGACATTGTGGAAATATTATGAAATATGTGGAAATATGCAATGATATTTTGTAAAATGATAAAAGAAGCATTAATACATATTTCTAGACTACTATCTTATTCCCAACAATTATATAAAGCTAAGAAACTAAGATCAATAACAAATTAGTAAATGACGATTTACTGAT